CTGTGACTATTATAATTTTAATTAGAATTTAAACACGTTCTTTCTCTTGATTATTAATAATATATCAACACATATGTATGTAGATTAAAATATATAAAATTTAGCACGTAATAAAAAATTAATAAAAATTTATAATTTTATTACAAAGTATAAATTTAATAATATCAAATTAAAGAAAATTTTTACTACATGATTGACTACTAAAATATACTCATGTAAACATACATATGCGCATAAACATACGCACACATTCATGTTATATGTGTATACAAAAACTTTATAACATCTTGTCTTATGGGTTGCCAAACCTTCGATAATTGCTCAAAACTTGAATATTTTTGATGATATCGGGTTTGATGATTTTGAATTTTGGGTAATTGTAGTTTTTATGAATTTACGCTAAATTATAAATTTTAATGTAATCAGATAAAAGTAAAGTAATCAGTTTTGAGAATTCATTTCATATTTTTTTTAAAAATTTATTTCATATTTTTTTAGCATATTTTATGCCTGTGTAAACAGAAAAGCTATTTTAAATTTTGTTTTTCAATTATTATTCAATTACCATTTGTATGTGTCATTTTCAATTTTAATTGCAAATAAAATTTCTAAAAAATTCACAGCCATCTTTTTAGATTCAAATTTTATTACGGAGAAATTTTTAAAATATTAAACTGGGAATGAACTCGTAAATAGGTAAAATTTAATTTTTTTTTGTATATAAATTACATTAAACTAAATAAAAAGAATAATTAACAAACGAAGAACATGTTTTTAATTTTTAATTATAAGAGTTAAAGAAAATCGAATAATTTAGATCTTTTTCGGGTAATTTTACATTTTCTATTTGGTTACCTTATTTGTCATGAATATTAAATTTCTAATTTTATTGTACATACATGCATACATACATAATATTATAATTTTTAAAAAAAATTGAGATGAAGAACAAATCACAATATGTATTTAAGACCTACATATATTTTCATACATATATATGTACATAATGTGAAAGTTTATATTTATGCAATATTATTATGCAAATATAAAATTTAAGAGTAAAAAAAATAATAAAATAAAATTGAAGAAATAAAAGATGAACAGCTATATAATATTCACGCTAGCTATAGATTAGACAAAAAAATAAAATTTCTAAAATATTATTTAGCTATTTTTAAAAATAACAGACTTGATTTTATAATAATATTATATTTGATTCATGACATATGTAAAAAATATGGGGTTCTATGGTGTAATGGTTAGCACTCTGGACTTTGAATCCAGCGATCCGAGTTCAAATCTCGGTAGAACCTTTCAAAGCTTTATTATTTTACTACTAAGTTCTTTTAAAAAATATATGTATTTTTTAAAATTTTATTGTGCAAAACAATTTGCTCTATGACTTTTTTAAAAAGTGCTATAAAATTTAATTAAATAAGTTTTAATTTAATTTTCATATAATTACATATAAACATATTTAGTAACATTATAAACTTCATGCATTTCAAACTTTTATTCCTAAATTTTCGTTCGGTTTTTTCCATCTTAATCCCTCATAGTCAAAATATGAAAAATTTTTTTTATTCGGATTTGGAACGCATTACGGAAAAAATGTGTAATATTAACTTAGTATGAAAATAAAACTAATCTATAATTTAAGCTTATTTGATTTTCGAAAATTTGATCAACACCAACATTTCGTCGACTAAGACGTTTTTCATTTTATGACCAGAATTTTGTTTCACAAGAGAAAGAGTAAACAATTTGAATAATAGAGACATACCTTTCTAAAGGAATATACGATATACAATGTATAAGTAGATTCCTGTATGCATAACATTATTATAATTATAATTCTGTTATTATAATAGGCAACGTTATTATTTATAATTGACTTATTTAAAGCAATATAAAAAAGGCTATATGAACTTATCTAATGAAAGCAATAATATATTATTACAATAACTTAAATACAAGTAATTTGGTTTGAAATTTTGTATGAACTTACGTTTGAAAGTACTTAGGTATTTTCATTTGAAAATGTTATACATACATATGTAAGTGCATTTTAAAATAAAATATGAGCAAAGGCGTTTTCCTTCACTTTAATTAATTATATATTATGCATGAATGTACTAAATCTAAATATGTACGTGTGAGTGTAGATATTTACGTACATATTTACGCTTCCTTACGTTATCAATAGCCCATTCACATAAAGATTTTTAACTTTATAAACATACATAATGCATACATATATGTATGTGTTATAATGACAAAAAATTCTATACAATAGCGTTTGAAATTTATTTTTATAAAATTAAATGTACATATGTACGTACATATTATAATATACATATATGTATGTTTTCCAAATTTCATTTAATTAACACAAAATTTATTAAAAACGATAGTTGAAAAGAAAAATTAAAGTAAAATTAAATTCTATTAATTCTGATACAATTATTATAAATTTCGGATTTAACTTTTATGTATTAAATATCACAATATAATACATACCTACACATCTATATATGTACATACACACTTGCCTCCTTCGTGCTGTCGTTTTTCAATCAGGGTACCACAAACGTGTAAAATACGCACATGGTAGTTTATTATAAGTACATCAAACCATATTGGCAAAGCGTTATTGTACAACTGTGGCTAAAAGAATTATGTAAACGATAGGCAAGTAATTGAATAATAAAATAATGTACTCATTGTTGGCTCTTTTAAATTTATAAAAAAAGATTACTACGATAGCACCTTTATAAGATAATTGATAGATCAATTGACAATTGTACCATTAACAGAATATCACCATTCTGTACTATATTCGCTTGTAATTTAAATCCAAGATCATTTTTTAACACTGATGACTTATAAATAATACAGAAAATATTACAATAAAAATAATTATTATAGGATCATTTAAAAATTATATTTTTTTACGTTATACGTTCATAAATGTATCTGTGGTCCGAAGGCATAAAATCTTAAGTTGAAAAACGGAAGTTAAAATATTTTATAGAAAAAAAATTATTTACACATATGTACATTAAGTTTGTCCGAAAAAACTTGAAAAAACTTTAAAAAGAGAAACAATGACAAAAGAAAAAAAAACTTATCGCAAAAAGAAAAAACCTTGAAAATACTTTTAAAAACTTTATATGTGATAAACGTCAAATTTCAAAGTATTTATCAAATACAAATAAATATTTTTTGGTTATACCAAAAACCGAAAATTTTGATTTTGGATTATAAAAGTGTGAAATTTAGAGAAAACCATTCGTGAACCCATTTTGGTTATTTTATTTTTAATTGAAAAGTTTTGAAAAAAAAAGGAATTGTTGATGAAAAAATTTTTTCAAAAATAAAACATTCTGACATAATCAAAAAAAACATATGTTTCGACAGCTGTAAGATTTTAAGTTTTTAAAACACTAAATTTTACAAAACTTGAAGAAGCTTTAAGCATTGAGAAAATGAGAATGTGATAATTTTCCCTCATTTTTGTTCAAAAAGTATTATCCCAGACGCTTTGCATACAAATATTTTATAAAGTTTTTAAGTTTTTAAAAACATTCTTATCCCAGGAAGACTATTATTATATAAAAGCATATTTCTTCTTCAAAAACGGAGAGATCTTGCTTCAAACATTTTCGGGAAAGGATCGAGAAATTTGAAAGGCGTTATAAATTTCTAGCGTAAATCAAATTCTAAATACCATAATTAAACTAAATTATTCATAAATTCGAGCTATATACATACATACATATGTATATCCATTTGTTAATTATGACCAAGGTTGTATACGCGAGAGCATTGCAGAACTATGTATGATACGGGAGACGATTTTTTTGACATCATCTGTTTCCATGTTTGTTTGCAAATATTGTTCTGGATTAATAACGGAAACAGTCAGCCTTTGCTGGTTTTACAATTGTATAGCAATAGTATCTTCGTTCATTTAGATGCGTACATATAACAAAATATCATGTGATATGTAAAATACCTTTTTTATAACCTAAATATTAATACATATAAAAATTTTTTGAAACTTTATATTTGGAAGCGATATACGCAATTGTGATGTACAAAAAATTCAAAAATCTACAGAAAAAATCTAACGTATGGTATACATATACCTGGAATATGTTAAAATTAAAGAATCGTTAAATTTAATAATTAAAACATAAATACATACATTCGAGAAGTATGTTATAAAAAGTGATTACTGACAACAAATGTCACATAATCAAATCAAGTTTGATTTGTAAACACCAATTCGATTAGTTGTACGATTTAATTTTCCAATTTGACTTCATATCTCAGCATTTCCTTTTTTAAATTCATAAATGAAAACAAACCTTAATAGCTTTGTTAACTGTGCTAATATGACGGCTTGTGTATCAATTCTTGACATGCATTTGATTCCTTCATTCAAAAGTCGTTGTGTAAATACAGATAATAATCGAATTAATATATGTACATAAAGCAAGTCACTATTTTACATATTTATTTGCAATTTACGCATTAATAATGTAACAAATTACGTGTATTAAACATACTAATTTACATTAATGTTAAGTAATATAAATTTTTTAAATTTTTGTACAGTAGGAAAATGTAAATGTATATAGGAACTATGGTGCTGCTTTAAATTTTCACAAATTACTGCACACTTAAAATAGCATATCATATTTTAAAAAGAAAAACTTTTAAACATTCAAACCAAAAAAATAAATTGAATTATAACATTAAATTTCTAAGTTGGTTTAAAACTTGGATAAATTAACCAATTTTAATTCTATTAGCGTTGACGCATTGCCAATTTTCTTTGACTTTTCTCTGAATATATCAAATTTGACAGTAATGGTGGCGCACAATGAAGTATATTGAAAACGTCATTTTAACATCTTGACATTTTAAGTTTAGAAGTACTAAGTAATAGTAAAAAAATTTTCTCATTCGAAAATTAAAAGAAAAAAATTTTCGAATGTGTGTGTTAGTTGAAGGTCTTCATATTGTAAAAATTATAGAAAAATATCTAGTTTTTTCCAAAAATTCAAAATTGCTCTTTCACTTCTAAGTTTTTGACAAAGTTATGGATAAATAAGTACATAAAAAGAAATTAAATAAAAGTTTTCAATCTTTGAAATTTTTTTTTATACTTTTTTTTCTCGATACTAAAAATAAAACAATAATATAAATAAATATAAAAAAAACGCATAAAAAAGAAAAAGCATATTGCAAAAATGTCTGTTCGAACTAAAGTATTAGGATTAGTTGATGTTATTATGAGAGTTCCGCCCCTCTTAGTTATTGATGAAATACTTAAAATAAGTATGGGGCTCCCACTTGGCACCACCAGTACATCATCTTCTACAACGTCTGAATCATCAGCACTGGATAAACATACATCAATAGATATAGGATTAAATTCAAATATAACAGATCTATATAATGGAAGTAATGAAGATATTGCAAATATTACAAGTAAAGTTGTGACATCACCTAGGAACCTTATGGATGCATTAACATATGATCCTGAATTTTATTTTTATGTATCATTAACAACAGCAAAATTTTTAGTATGTTTATTTGGTAAGTTTTTTTCATATTATTTGTTAAAATATTCTACAATTGTTCTTAATAAGTTAAGCATCCCCCAAATTCTTGGCTTGAGGATATAGAACCCTATTTCTGTATAAACTAGGCACTACATATAATAAATTTTAAAATTTTATCAAGTAAAGTGCGTATTCACTATTTGTACAGTCCAGATGCATATATAACTTCATAACTGTTTATTATTTGATAATGTTAATACTTATATAGCGTGTGCTTAAAATGGTTCTTATTCATTTACATTATATGCATATATAGACTTCTTTATATTAATAAAAGTACATTATACCAATCTGTTTAAAATTGTTTTCATAAAATGTACATACGTACGTACATGTATAAAATAAAATCTGAAATTAGAAATACAACTTGCAAAAAACTTAAAAAATCCTTGAAATATTTTACAAATGAATTACCTTTGAAAAGTTAAAGAAAATTTATTTTGTATTATTAATTATGAAACTAAATAAGAAGTAGTAATTCTAGATATTACGTATAGATGTGTTTTATACAATATATACATAGGTACTAGCAATATACATATATGTATATACGTAATTAAACATACAAACGTATGTATTTTTGAGGTAATAAACAAAAAATGTACCCGATAACTAAAATTTTACATTTTTATTATAAATTTCATATGGAACAAAATTTTACCGATTATGTCCACAATTACAGTTTTGTAATAAAATTCACTAAATATTTTAATTAGTAGTTAAAATTTTATCGATATTGAATTTATTATTCAATGATGAATCAATATACTTACCTACATTCATACACATAAATAATAACTAACTTTCTGTAAAGTCAATTTTAAATATATTGGATTACTTGGAGAATAACGTAAATAACGTGTGCATATATTTTAATTTTACATTTAATTAAAAGCTTTTAGTGTTATGAATACTAATGCAGGTAAACACAAGTGTTAATAAAAATGAGTTCTTATTGCTTCAAATTATACAAGTGATATTAGATAGTAATATTAATTACAGTTGATAAGTCAATATCATGATTAAAAATATTTCAATAAAAAGTAGAGAAAAAGTTTTTGTGTGAATCATTTTCTTTAAAGAGGATTTACACGATTATCGTTTTTAAGTTTAAGAACGAAAATAAAAAAAAGAAAAAACGTCTGATTTGACACGCAAATTAATTCAATTTTTACGAATAGATATGTACGAAATAAAGTGGTTAGTATTGTCAGGTAGTTCTTTTATTTTGTTGCAAAATATAAACAAAACAGTTTAGGTACTTACATATTACGTAGGTAGGTAGGTACCGAACTCATTAGTACCTACACAAATGAATTTCAATTGCTATCAATTGAGTAATACGGGCTTTTTGTATCTCTTGTCTACAAAATTTGATCTTTGATCATATAAAATGACATTAAATTCTACAGAATTCAAAATTTAATTCAAAATTTTATCCACTACTTAAAATGTATCTAATCAAATCAGTGTCTCTTCTTTTCACTTGCTTATAAAATAAGGTGAATAACCCTTCCGAAATATATGTTGATACTTTAAAATAAATTGATCTCAATTTATGGTATAGGAAGATGGCTATGAAAGTATTAATTATCTACTGCTAAAGTGTAGGTACTTTGTATTTAATAGATTTAAACAAGTAGCTAGTATCTTCTTAAATGAATATATCATAAATTTTAAAATAAAAGTAGGTTTTTTTATTACATTATAGTGCTTCACTAAGAGTTAAAAAAAAAAAAAACAGAAAAAAAAAACATGATTTTATTTGAAAAGAGGTCACTCAACCTCAGTGACCAGGTTTTCCTTTAGTCTGTGTATAACTAAATAGTGTTTTATTTATTCGTTTTAATAAAATACTTTAATAAAAATTTTCATATTAAAATTTTACTAAATAAGCATTTTAGTTTTTAAATAATTTTTGCAGTGATTGTAAAATTAAAGGTTAAGAAAATGATAAAATTCTGTTAAGGTACCTTAATGTAAAAAATTTGTTTATTTTTGTTTCTTTGCAATGAATCTGCACGATGTTATTCAAGATTTTTTTGTTAAAAATATTTCAATTTTTTAATTTTATTTACAGTATATTTAAAAGCATTTTGTTGAAATTTTGCAAATTAATAAAAAGTAATAAAAAGTTTTTGGAAAAGATTGAACTTTAATAAAATAAAGTAAAAAAGCAAGATTATAGCGAGATGTTGCATTTTTATAATTTTTGGGTAAATATGCACAAAAACGATGAGTGTAAGGAACTCAAAATCATCTTCAATTTTTAAAAAATTCTTTATTTTAATTTTTGTTCATCTTTTGAAATAAAACTTTATTTTAAGTCTATTTTTCTTTTTATGTTCGAATGAGGGAAAATTAAGAAAGATGCCTAATTTGAAAAGCACGAGATTTTTTAAAACAGTTTACTTGTATCCGAATAACAGAACCCAATTAATTATCTTGAGAATGAATGGAAAAAACGTACAAAAACTGTATAGAAAGTGAATGATTCTCTATTTTAAAAAGATTTTGAGCATATAATAGATAAAATGATTTACTATTGTGATATGAGTTTAAAATATTTTAATGAAAAATGAACGCGCCAGAAAATTCTACATTATCCAAATTTTAAAGTATTGTATCAGAATTTTTAAATAAATCCTCATTAATTCTTATAATTTCAATAATTTTTTTTAGATCTAGAATTTCTTTGTATTAAAATTAATCTACTTAACTTTGTAATGTCCTTAAAATTTTTATTTAAGGACATTACAAAATTCTTATTAAAGCTTTGATTTCTTATTAATTGGCACTTATTATATTTCCAGGAATTTTTAGCGCAGCATGTATATTTATGTTATGGACACGCCATCTTGTAATAGTTTACATGTTCATAATATCAGTTGGATTAATATTTCTTTCATATTGGAGTAATGTGTCTGCTCTTGGATTGATTGAAAATGGGCCTTGCATATTGGAAGACATTTTATCTCTTAATATGAACAGACTTTTAGATCCTGGAGGTGTTGCATTTGCTGTAATTATATCCATATATACATACCTATATTTTTATATTAATTAACCAATAAATCTTATTTATAATTGATTTATAATTTCAGATTTTGCCACATTTGTTGGCACAGTGGTTCATGGGAATGTTATTTGCCTATTTACATTTAGGTCCACGTCATAATTATATTCAAAAAATATTACCATTTTGTTTCCTAATGCCTTTATTATTAGCAATGCTGCCTATACCACGATCAATGTTAAAAGACACACCAGCTTTTGCAGCTGTAATTCCATTTATACTAACTAAAATATCACTTTGGAGTAGTTCATTTGATGTTGGTATTACTGTGTACAATGGATATCAATATGCAAAAAACTTTGCAACAAATTTTGGCCTTTCGGCATTAGTAGAGGCGGAATGGTTGCGTTTAAATGTGCCAAGTGTTTTAAGAGCATTTTGGACAATAAGGTAACTGCTTAAAAGATTAATATAAATGTTGAAAACTTATTAGTGTTTCTTATTTTTTTATTTATAAAAATAATTTTTTTCAGGCTTGGCCATCAATTATTTTCTATGATAATAAATTCTGAAGCACATTTAAGTTTTCTCTTAACCGTACAAAATTTATTAGTGAGTGGATGTGAGACTTTAACTGCTGTTTTAGGAATGACTAGCATAATATCAATGATATGCCATTACATAGGAAAATTATTTCAATTTTTCTTATTGTCAGAAGATTTAGATGAAGACCGTTCACTTGGAACAATCTCTGCAATTTTGTTTTACATATTAGCTCTTCAAACTGGTTTAACTTCTTTAAGTCCTGATAAACGTTTTATACGTTTATGTAGAAATTTATGTTTATTAGTAACAGCATTATTACATTTTTTGCACAATATAGTTTCACCAATTTTAATGTCATTGAGTGCTGCTAGAAATCCATCCAGAAAACGTCACGCTCGAGCATTAATTGTGTGTGCTTTTCTATTAATAGCGCCAATGTGCCTTTTAACTGTTTTGTGGTCAAGGCACCCTCCATCAACATGGCTGTTAGCTGTTACTGCATTTTCGATCGAAGTGATAGTAAAAGTAAAATTTTTTCAATCAATTTTATTTCGACAACTCTTAAACAATTTTATTTTGCAATTTAATTTTTTCAGGTACTTGTAAGTTTGGCAACATATACATTATTTTTATTGGACGCACGGCGTCAAACTTTTTGGGAAAAACTAGACGATTATGTTTACTATATTCGTGCATTTGGAAACTCAGTAGAATTTTGTTTTGGAATATTTTTGTTTTTTAACGGTGCATGGATCTTAATTTTCGAATCAGGTGAGTATTTCTTTAATGTTAAAAGAATTTTTAAACCAAAATATTGTTATCAGTTAAGTGAATATTATTTTTATTTATTAATGTTGTAATATTTTTATTTAAGGTAGATTTAAATCATTTTTCATTTCATTCGTAAAAATGTTGATAAAAGTTTATAATTTTCTAATTAGGCCTTAGTTATGTATTCTTTTTAAACGAAGTTATGTATGTGGGTTCTTTTAATTTTTTCATTTTTTTTTTTAGTTGAAAGTCATCAAAAATTAATTGCGAATTTATTGTTGACAAAAAAAAATAGAATTTCAATAAAAATTAGTATAGTTTTAATGAATTTAGAATAAAACTTCAAATTTCCTTGAAAATTCTACTGCGAATTTTAAATAAAAAGTTACAGTTTTTATTGAAATTCTTTAATAGATGTAGACAATTTTTATTTAAAAATGTGTGCATGATTTCAGTGTATGAGACAATGTTTTGTAAATTTGGTGCAATGTAAAAATAAATGAGTAAAAATAAAAAAATATAAACTTTTTTAAACAAGCTTTCCACTTGAGAAAGACACATAGATTTATTTTAACATTTATGAAAATCTTGTCAATTCATATGTTCCCACATATTAAGTATTTTTATTTTATAGACTCTTTAAATAAACACAAACAGAAATGCTCAATGGTGCTTTTCATGATTTTCAATTTATATAGAAAATCATAAATTTCTGGAAGATATTTTGGAATTCTTATGTTTGGTATTTCTTCATATTCATTCCATTGAAATATTTTTTAATATAGTTGCTTTATACCATGTTTATTTTGCGCCATAATATCGTACTTACTTTTTATTTTGAATCTACCTATCTATTTCTGTGTGCATGTATTTTTTATTTTGGTTGATTTTTGGTACGTATGATATAACTTGATAGCTCGAAATGTCGCAGGCGGTGCTATACGGGCGATTATGATGTGTATACATGCATATTTCAACATATGGTGCGAAGCACGTGCTGGATGGACTGTATTTATGAAAAGACGAACAGCTGTGCATAAAATTTCATCATTACCAGAAGCAACACCAGCACAACTAAGATCATTTGATGATGTTTGCGCAATATGTTATCAGGTATAAAATTAGGAAAATGATTAAATACAAAGGTTAATATAAAATTATATTTCCTTCTTAGGAAATGGCGTCAGCAAAAATAACTAGATGTAAACACTTTTTCCATGGAGTGTGTTTGAGAAAATGGCTTTATGTACAAGATCGTTGTCCATTATGCCATGAAATAATGATGTACACAGAGAAACCGAAAGCTGAAGATGAAAACGGTGATAATGTTGATAATGCTGAAGAACTTCAACAAATTGAAGAACCGATGGTGTGTAGACTTAAATAAAACCATTAAATTTCTCTGTAAATATTTGCAGTAATTTTTTTTCCGCCGTAGGCTTTTGATTCCCCAATCGTTCTACCTCAAACTGAAAATTCTTCTACAATTGAACGTAGAGATAGTAATACAAATACTGGTTCAATAGGTGGACCCAGCACATCATCTGTAGTACTTTCAAACTTACAGCTTGATTTAGAACAAATAAATAATCAAAATTCTCTCAATAATAAAGTACTTAGTAGTATACAATCTTCAACAACGCAGTCACAGTTACAGCAACAGCATTATTTATCGCATATTGATAACGAAGTTGAATAACTTAATTTTAAACTTATTATATAAAAATATTAAATTAAAAACTAGCTAAAATTCTACGCATAAGAAAATTTAAAAAGTAAAGTGTAAAGTAAAAGTCTTATAAATTCTCAAAATTTAATATAACTTTTAGGCAAATAATTGTTAAAAAATTTAGTTTCGAACAAAATTACAAAAAAAAAAAACAGTCTAAATCTTTGTGAAAATAAATTAAATATTTAATTTGTAATAAACTCCGAACGAGATATAAAAATAAATCATGAAAAATATAGAATGTATATATTATGTACCAATATGTATGTAAGTATATGTTATATTAAATCAAACAATTCAAAATTTGGTATTTTTGTAAAATAGATTTATTTCAACATAATGTTAAAATATAAAAATTAAATAACAATAAAAAAAATTAAAATGTCTACAATAGTTATTAAATTTTTATTTGTTTTGAAAACCTAGTTGAATCATTGAATTAATAGCAGCAACGAATTTTTACGGTAAGAATTCGTTGCTGATATTAATTACATAACTATCAAATTTTGTTTATTAATTTCTCATCATGTTATTAAAAATTGTTTTTTAATGTTCATTATTAACTTATTGAATGCTATATTGAAAAACCTTATTTTTCTTTTTAAAAGATGTTTTGATAATGTGAAAAACAATTTAATCAATAAATAATTCAAAATCAATTAATATCTAAAGGTATTAAAAAATGCTTCAAAATTTTAGCTGTGCGCTAATAATTTTTAACTAGTAAATATCAGATAATTTAATGATATTTCTAAATCACGTTTTTAGTCTCCAATTTTGATTATTCTAGTTTTCATTTCACCCTTGGGAACCGTTTTTTAACATTATTAGATAACAGTAACTTTAACATTCTTGTCATCTAGTAATGAAAATATTATAAGTCATTAAAAGTTAGTAAAGTCAAATATTAAAAATATAAATATACACTGTAAACTTGTAAATTTTTAAAACAAAAAAAACAACATTTATAAATGGGCGTGAAGAATTTGAAAGTTTTTCGGGTTTTTTAAAAATTTTTAAACACTAAGAATTTTTTTTTACAGATAAAATATGCCAAATGAAATCCTGCAAAAAAAAATATCTATATTTTTTATTTTGTTCTTTAATACACCCCTAAAACATGAACTACTTTAAAAGAAACGTCTAGGATATTAAAATTTTATGCATGAAAATAGTTTAGATTAATTTCAAAATTTTAAATTAGCTCTAACAAAAGTTAAATTTGTAAGCTGGATTTTAGAATATATAGTTATAATTTAAGTGTGATGTGTATCTTTGAATAGCAAAGTATTTCATATTATTATCAGCATTTTGTTGTACAGCTGTCAATACCACAATTACAGTCGTAGAACTTATAAACGTACTCCCATTTTATAATAAATCATATAAATTTTCTTACTTTGTTAACCAATTTTTTTTTTTTTAAATATTTTTTATGTATTTTGAATTTATAAGATTAAAAAATTATTTTTTTTATGTATAAAATAAGGTTAGAAATGCTATAGAAAGTGTAAATTATCCAATTTATTATCAAATCTATATAAATTTCATAAGTAACTATATACATACATATATTTAAAATCTAATTTGGAAATTGAAATTAAAATTTTTATTTGAAATCTTAATTTTTGGAACTCATAAATGACACTAAATGTATTATAAAATATTCAAATACGTTTATAGGAAGCGATTATTTTAAGATAAACAAGTTTTTGCTATCATTGCTATCATTATTTTACAATGGGCTAAAAATAAAATATTTTAAAACTAATGAAATTTATTTTAGTCAAATATTGTTCAATTATTCAATGTTTTCTTTCTAATGTAGATCCTTACTTTTGCGAATTACATTTTTGTTTTCAATACAGTTTAGTATATAAAATTAATTTGCATTCATCATAACATTTAAAATAAAATAAATAAATATTTTAATTGCAAAAGTGAAAGATGTCAATTTTTAAAACAAAAAAAAAATATAATTCTATATGAAATTATTCTATATGTAGGTTTTAAATAGCAATTTTAAGTAACTGGGGTTACAAGAGAACAAGAGTCTGTTCAAAAATTGCATTAACATTATATAAATAAGTAAATAAATGATTAAATAAAATAATTACCTATCAAGATATCATGGAAAAAATTACAATTTTTTTTTGTATATAAATTGGTGGAGATCTGATCTGATTTTAAAACTATACATGGGAAAGTATAAAGAAAAAAAAAGTTTTTAAAACAAATATCAGGTAAATCAAGTGTAGCAAATTATGTCCCTACTTTTTTTTTTTAATGTCTTAAGTTATCAAGTCTGATGATTTAATCAATAAAATAATTATGTATAATAATATATAAGTAATAAAAATATGATAAAATATGTACATGTAAAAGTTAAAATTTGAGTTATAAATAAATTATTTAATTAAATAATTGTTTACATTTTTTCATTAAAGTAAAATAATCTTATTTTTTGGAAATTATTGCAAGTTCAAATTTATTTCCCAATATAAACTAAAATTAATATAAATATTGGTATATATTAAATGGTTTACTTGAATGAGCTATAAATTTACCATATAAAGATGCTTAAGATCAATACCGCTGTCTATATACGATAGTTAAATCTAATTGAGAAATTTATCTTTAAGGTGAAATTAAACTCAAAATTATTAAAAACTTTAATTCTTTTAATAATTTTGTTATTTATTTTTTAGCCTATATTTCCATATATACATATATCTTTTGTAGGGAAAAGTGTTAAAAATACAAAAAGCTCTAATTATATTTTTTTTCTTCAAGTTTATTGCAAACAACAAGCACAGCAACAAAAAAAGGAAATATTTAATATAATTTAAAAAAAATTAACTAAATTGTATAAATTTAAAAATTTTTTGTAACAATCAATGATATTAAAAATTTATAAGAGTAGAATTTAATTTAATTAAATATTAAATCATTGTAATTTTGCAGCAAATAATAAGTAGAAATACGGCAACAAGTAGTTGTTCTAACAACTGTTGTTCTATCAGCTCTTTCGAAATTAGCTTTTACTGTTTCATAATAACGTCCGTCACTAAAATTATTTTTAATTCAAAAATAAATTAAAAATTATTTTAACTTGTGCTATATAATAAAATAAAATGTAATTTGTTTTTACCTTAAAACCATACAGCGTAATTTAAGACATTTAACACGAAGCAAATCAATAGCTTTTTGACTTTTGTCAGAAAATCTTAAATTATCAGGATCCCATCTAGAAAAAATATTTGTGCAAAACATTGCAAAAAATAAAATTTTTAACAAGGCTTGTATAATAAATACAATTAAAATAATATAATTTAGTTTTTACCTTAATTCAAGACGTTCAAGTATTGAACAATTTGAAGCGATACCATCCATAAGTTGATCAACATGAATATTAACACCTAGCTTCTCAGATGTACCCATTACTAAAATCCTAAATATGAAGAAGATTATTATAATGTAGACATTGCTTATAAAAAAAGTTCTGGTTATGTTATAAGATCATGTGATCATACTTCGCATTATTCAAAAGTGGAAGAATACTCATCCAAAGTTGATCTGTGATATGTGTCATGCCAGATAAACAACATGCTGATAATTGGGGACCATAGCGGCTTAAAAATCTATTTAATCCTTCATCAGTCAAATTATCGGATGAATCAAGATCTAATGCTATTAAAGTTCTAAAAATAATTTTAAATTAAAATTTTTTCCAGACACTTGTACAAGATATTTTGAATATAGCAGTTAAATGAAGCAATTTGATTTAATGAAGCAATTTAATTTAATCACCTTGGATTACCACTTTCCATCCATGCCTTTAATACGCTGTCGGTCATTCCATTTATTTGACCAGCACTTAATAATCTCAATGTTGGCAATCTTGTCAATAAATCAACTAAGCATTCACTTGATAAATCTGTAGCTGTTATGTCCAATTCTTGTAAATTACATTTATCCCATTCAGCTTGCATAACATATTCTGATTTTAAGCTTGTACCATTCATTAATAAACAAGTTAATCGTTTTGATCTTTGTATCAAAATTTTCAATGTTGAACCAGTAACTTTATTGCAGAAATTAACAGCAAGACATTCAAGCTTTATTGAAAATTCAAATTTATGAAGTAAATATTAAGTAATTTAAAAAAAAATAAAATCAAATAAAACAAAAAAAATATCATAGCATAATAGTACCTGAATACAATTTGAACTGAATGCATCAATATGGGAATCATCAATAAAATTAATGCCATACAAATTGATAACACGTAAATTTGGTGTTGCTGATTTTAATTTACCAACATTGATAACTTCATAAATTTCTTCTTCAACTTCTTCACATTTCTCATAAGTACCAATTAAGTGTAGCACCTCTAAACCATTAATGAAATTATAAATTTTTCTCATAAAACCTTCCATAAAGATAACTTCAGATAAACATATACAAAGATATCGTAATTTTGTTGGAAAAGCTTGCATTTCACTGAAATCGTGAAGTTGCATAGCTAAAAAGAAACAAATAATATTTCAATTATAGTGTAATTATATTTTTTGTATTTCAAATAATGATAAGAAAATTTTAAAAATTTGTACATACCCGTTGAAAAATCTAATAACATATGAGTTAAATTTGGACATTTTGCAGCTAATTCATGTAAAACTGTATGAGTGATCAATTCAATTGGCAATTCAATATAACGTAATGATGGTCCAAATCTTGTTGATACCAATCCCAATAAGAATTCTAATGATGTTACATGTAATCCAGATATTTCAGGACGTAATGATACATTTTTCCAAAGTGTAGGTTGATGAGATATTTGACGCCATCGACGACATATTTTCGACATACGACATATCTCACGATGAGATAAGTACGAGAATATGTTCAATATAACTTTGTCAGGAAGTTTTTCTATAGTCTAAATATTGTTATAAAATAAAAGTATGTATATATGTATTATTATAATTTATATAGTTATAGCCGTTAGATAAAATTTATAGGCTGAATTAGTATAGATTTTTAGAAATTTAATTGTAGACTTGATTAAAAGTAATGAAAATTAGTAGTAGCTAAATTAAAAAAAAGTGATTTTAAGAAGTTAAGTAAGACATAAAATTTTAGACACCATTTTTACTTGGTGCGTTAAAAATTGAATGTCGTGCATATAAGCTATCAATATATGTATTTAAAATAATATGTTATCATCAAAAATAATATTGTAGTGTAGTGAACTTGCAACTTTAATTGGTGTGGGATACTTAAAAAAAGTATTTTAAGTGAAAAAAAAATTAACACACGCAAAACTTTACTACTTCAATTAAAAATGATATAAAATATAACATTTAAATATAAAACTATAACAACACTTTAAACTGTTATAAAAATATGAAAAACTGCCAATTTGAATGTTTTACTCGAATATGTGAATTAAAAATTTTTAGTTTTATTTTAACAAAATCAAATTTAAAAAATTTGAATTTTTTACAATTGTTTTTCTGCTAAGGGTAAATATGGTAATTTTTAGATTTTCAAAAATAATTTCGAAATACATAGCGTTTTTCTGAAATTTCCTGAATTCAGCCTTTAAATACTTCTTTAATTAAACAACAAGAGGAAAACTAGCCATCATGATCAAAAAACGATTATTAACTTTTATATGAAGAAAATCGAGTACTGATCGAGCCAGTTAAAGTCAACCATATTAGAGATACTTGATTTGTATATATAGGTACTTAAAACTATTCCTATCAAGTTTTAGTATTGTTCGCAATGAAATTTTTACAATTAAGTTCAGATTTTGTAGTTATATTTTTGCCTCTTTCAAATTTGGAAAATTTAGTAGTACTTGTTGCTTTCTTTTTTTAGAAAGCTATTTTGCTAAATATTAGAAGTTGCAAGTTTGGTATTTTGTCAAAAAAAAAAAATATATAATGGATTTTAGTATTACATGCCATTATTTTTAAGTTAATGAATAAGGTAAATAATAAAGCAGAGAAATATAGTTGAAATAGTTCTTATTCTAATTAATTAAAGGAAAGTTTTATTATCCTTTTAATTAATACAATAATAATTTACAATTGGAGCTGAAAAATAATTACAAATTACAACAAATTTACAATAAGAAAAACTTTTGATCATCTTCAGTTTTATATAGAATTTTTCAAGAATACAGCTATCTATTATTTTTAGAATTTATTTTCACAAAATTTAATCAACAATAGGAACAAAATACAAAATTATTCAAAAAGTGGAAAAAAAAATAATTACTTCAAATAAGATAAAATCGATATGCAAAGCGGTTCAATTCAAAGATCATGCGAAAGAAAATTTTTAAAAAATTCACACAGAAAATTCAAAAATTTTCGATTGTCCACTTGTTACAGACTATAAGATATTTTTTGACAATAATTTACATAAGAACTTCAACATCCACGATTGAACTAAATTTCCATTTATAAAAATTTTTATAATTTTGATGTTAAAGTTTGAATTCGTATCTTAAACTGTATATGTATGTGTAGAGGAAATAATTTATATAATAATATTATTTGGAAGGTTTTGTAACTTAAATCAAAATTAATTAAAGGAAAATACGAGGCGAATTAGGTATAAGGCAATATAGTATATAAATAAAATAAGTACACAAAAGTACAAGAAAATATGAAGGAAAATTCACCTCATAATTATGACTTTCTTTGTAAATTTGCAAATAAATTATATACTTATGGGCAAACAAATGCTCAAACATATACTGTGGAGGAAAGTCATAAAAATTCTCATAATATACTCGGAACGTTACAAATGATATGGTTAGAAATCTTTCTCAAAATATCAAACATGATTATGTATTTGTTTCTAAAAATTAAATATTGATTGAGATCAATAAGAATTTATAATTTGAATGGGAAATTACAAATTGATTTACATGACATCAAGCTTTTTGAAATTTATTACCCATATAAACAAAACTAACCCGTATATTTAATAGTGTAAAAAAATATATTATTAAGGCTACTATGTTTGATAAGAACCTTGGAAACTTTGATAAAAACCCATTGCAATTTTTGCCAGCTTTTTTCATATCTTACAGAAACAATATGCAGAAATTAGCTGCAAGATTGAAATTTTACATAAGCGACTATGTTAGAATGGCCTCTTTTTTCGGCAAATATAAGTTAACTGCCATATACAGCTAATAAAATTATTCAACCATGTACGTATACTGACGGTATACTTCAAGCTGACGGTAAAAGCCATTCCATCAAAAAATTCTAGAATATAATTATTTATCTTAACTTGTACAATTAACCATAATGTTAATGCCTCTTTATTTTTGTTTTTTTTTTGCCTCAACCTTAAAAAATTTGATAAAAGAATGAAAGTAACTTAGAATGTAATATTATATTTTTTAAGAGCAGTATTTTCATTTCTTCAAGGGAAAAGTGCTACGTTGCAAACCACTGGTTTGACCCAACTTTATTAAGCATAGATTCTTGTTATTCTTAATTAAATTATATAGGTGGACCAAGTTTTGATAATACACACAATAATGTAAATTAGATTAGAATTTAAAATAGTAAAAATTTAAAATAGTAAAATTTTTACTTATATAGTTACGGAATTACAAATACTAGCAAATAAAAAATGTAGTTTGTTTATAGAAAATTTGAAAATATGTATGTATGTATAATGTGTGACTAACATTATTCTATTCAATTTTTATTAAGATCACATTATTAGATTCAACATTGAAACTCTAAAAATCGTTTATTTCTTCAGAGCGAATATCAACTATTCCTTATTATTACCGTATTAACAACAAACTATACCTTTTGTATAATTGATATTTGTTTAGGCATTTATGTTCTTAGGAAATACATAATGAGGAATTTTTGCAAACTTATATAAAATAAAAAATTTATTGAATTAATTTTTGATTAACTTATGCTTGTATATTTAATTATTTTCATAGACATATATGAAAAATTTTCCCTAAAATGTTGATTTTATCAACATTTTAGGAATGGAAAATAATAAATTTTTAACTTAAAAACAGTCCGATATTTCGTCATTAATCTTAGATATTCAAAATAAATTAAAATTAATCGCGAAATAAATTTGTAAATACATACAATAATTAGGTATATATATGTATATGCATATAGAATTCATATGTATTCATAGAATGCATCTTATTTTAAAAATAAAATTATTACTGAACCGTAGCTAAAAGTAAAACAGCTGTTTTTATTCTACATTTTATATATGTAGCTCTCTCCAAAAGAGTCTTCTCTGCAGTAAATGAAAAAGAAAATTTACTATAAAGATTTAAAAAGTAAAAAAAGAAAAAAAAACTAAATCTCTTGAAAATCTTTAAATGTCCCATAGAATATAAGAATAAAAATAATAATAAGAAAAATTTAGAAACTTTCTAAAATTAAAGCTTTCGGACCTGTCAGACAGTAAGCAATTTTTTTTTTAGCATAGAGTGAAAACATTTTATTTGAATTGAGAAAAAAATAAATAAAATTAAAATTTAATTACAAATAATTTTTTGATTTTTTCTTCTTTTTATTTTAATTAAAAAAATTTATTTTAATGTGCAATTGTATGCTGTCATTATATTGTTTTATATTATTACCGTATCTGCAAATGGGCTACGTTTAGTGCCATCTGTTAAATAAACTTGTGAAGCTTCTACAGCTATTTGACCCCATAAGTCCATATCCATTTTGAATAAATTTTTTTTTTAAAACACTTTTTTGTTACACAAGAAAAATAATATGAGCAGGTGTGTATTTGAGTACGTGTGTATTTGAGCTACACTTTTTATAATTTAATTGAAAATTTTGAAATTTTAATTTTTCTTTTTCATGAAAATCACTTAAAAAAAAAATAAATTGAATTTTTAAATTTTTTTGGAATTATTAAAAGAACAAAAAAATGTGATTTTTTTTTTGTTGGTTACGCTGCGATATTTTTAGAATTTTTCAAGTTTGTAAACTTTTTTATTTGTATAAAACTTTCCAGCGATTCTATTTAGCATTATATTTCTGTTCCGGTATACAGTAAGTATCTTATATAAAGCCTCGATGATCACTGAAAAGTTCTCGGTGAGGAAATTTTTATATTGATTATTTTATTGCATTGTGAAATTTTGAAAACTTGATAAAACTCAAATAACAAAATAGCTCTTTAGCTCAAAAAATAGCTCTTTTTGATATTGAGAGTATTTTGAAAAAAAAAAAAAAATTTTTTAAGCATTTTTCTTTCTCCCAAATTTTTGTTTTTGAGATTCTTTTAAAGTAAAACTCAAGTAAATGAGAAAAGTAAATCTAGTTGACTATATGAGAATTTTTTTTTTTAATTAAAATTTTTGTTTTATATAAAACAAACGAAAAAAAAAGATCAATGTTTTTTCATTTGTTTTGTTTTTGACATTTTTGTATATAAAAGAAAATATATAAATAACACCTGTTGATATTACATGCACAATGTTCACTTAATAATAATTAACAGACATACAAACAGTTCTTATTAATCAAATGCACAATATGTAAAAGAAATAAGGTTCTTATTCGTTAATGTAAAAAAAACAAACAAATACAAATATTTGTAGAAATGTGTGTAAACGGATTTCCTTTGAATGCACGTACACACGTGCATAGGGTGAACTATTGAAGACTACAATGTTGTATATTATCGTTTATTAAGGTATTAAAAATGGGTGAAATATTTGTTTGTACCCAAATGGGTATCCATGCAAAATCCCATACAGTATCTTAGTCACAGGGATTTTAACAAATTTTCATGAAATTTCTACTTGTTCAAGTTTAATCCCTTATAACTTCCTTCTCGTCAAAGATAGAAGCTTTAAGCAAACCGTTTTTGAAGGAGCTAGTAATAGGCTTAAGATGAACTAGTTGTATATTATTTTGTATGTTGTTCGAATACGAAGAAATGTAGTTTTAGAAAAAAAATCAAATTTGTCCCTATTGAGATGTCTAGGTGTCGATAGTTCAAAATAAAAATTTCATGCAATTTTCGTGCCTTAAACGATTATATTATTGAATCACCCTATATATAATATGTATATGTCTGTAAATACTGCAAGTATCAAAAAATAATGTATGATTTTATTCTAATATTTTTAAATTATTCTGTCAAAAATTTTTAAATCGACGCTATAAAACTTTTGTATGAATTACCCTAACTAATTGTAATCAATAAAATTATTTATAGGCCTATACATATACATATATATATGCCTACATTACATTAATTTTTTTTCTTAATTAATTATAATAATAATAATTAAATCAAATAGCTTTACGAATATAGAAGTTCTGCTACGTAATATTCACTCAGAGTTCATAAGTCTACAATAGCATAAGCGAAAAAACTTTAAAATTAAAAAAAAAAACGCGGAAAATTTAAAATTACCCAGTAAATATTAAAATTTACAATTATTCTAGAATGTAAACATTTTGTTTTAATATACGGGCATCGGACCACATGCTGTTCGTTGGGAACTAGGAAGGAAATCAGAAAGGAGGCGGTCGGAACGCTGGAAGTCTTCTGGAGATGCGGCAGGTCAAAAAGTTCGGGGAAATTGGAGACAATTGCAGCTTCTGTAGGGAAGACGGGGAGACTTCAACACACCTTTTGGAAGAAATACTGGGGACTTTGCTCTCACCTCAGACACGTTTCGGTCTTCCGAACCTAGGTTTCATTAGGAGAGGGAGAGGGGTCTCGAGCGGATGTTGTAGGGTTCCACATTAAGAGATGGAAGTATAATAGATTATTAGTGCTCTGTTACCTCGTTTGTACAAAACCACAAATCTACAATCTACTATACCAGCAGTTAGAAAAGTTTTTAAGGGTAAATATAAACTACTTCCATACTACTTATATTTAAATTCAATAATATATGGTACTTTACAATTCTGTTATAAAACGAAAATTGAACAGTGTTGGCTAATATTGTTACATTTCCAATATTTATTTCTGCATGTCACACATAATAACTTTTATTTCAGGACATAATAAGAAAATTTAAAAATCTCATATTTTGAAATTTTTAAACATTAAAATATTTTATTAAGAATTTGTACGTTTTTGGCATATTTTCAAAAAAAAAATGTGCGATTACGAATAATTAAATTTTGTCTGTCCGTTTATTTATTTGCAAAATTTATTTGTTCCGTTCAATATGCAAACATAAAATTTTTATGAAAAATTAGGTTTTAATAAAAATATCATTTTTCGAATACGAAACATTTATAGTTCCTTAAAGTGATAAAAGTGTAGGTTTTTAAAAAACTACTGAACGTAAACCGCAAAAATCAATTTGTTGATTCGAAAAATTAGTACCCAGTGCCTGAAATTTTAGATTTGTTGAATCGATCAACAAAACGAGATATGAAGGGATGTTCTTCCTTGGTTCCAAGACTAGTTGTTACTTTAAATATATACAACTAACATATTATATTAATAACATTGTTACGATAAAAGTTTTGTTTTACATTAAAAAAAGCAATCCGCTCGCATATAAATCAAAAATATAGTTTCTTAATTATTTTTAATATTTCAGAAAAATTTGAAGAAAATTATGACAAATTTATGACATTTTTAGCATAAAAATAATGAAAAATTTAAACAGTGTGTCTCGTATCTAAATATTTTCTATTGGGCTTCAAAAGATGGTAAATTTTATAAGTGGCAAATGTTCAATAGCTCAATAGGTTCAGAGTTACACGGATATAATCTCATCTGAAAAATTGTAGTTAAAATGTAACTTTACTGGAACTTGGGACATGTTGAGCAATAAATTTTGTTTTCATAAAAAAATTTTATCTACTCATGAGGGTCTATTCTTATACAATTGTATATAGCGATGCATGGAGATATGATACATTCTGTGTATAAGAAAAATTATTCATTATTAATAAATAATCAACCGAAAGATAAACATCACACTTGATTGTTAAGCATCAAATTTACGTAATTATTTTTAGTAATAATAAATTGATAGTAGAGTAGATATATAGAAATTGAATAGAAAGGCCATATAGAAAGAAGTTTTTTTTTATTTTATAGTTATTTACTTACAAAACGTTATTTGTTATTTACTTCAAATTAGTGAGTTAAAATTTACAGCTTTTCGTGTTTTTTATCACCCATTCGTAACGGATGGTTACTTACCAGCCTATGTTTATTATTTGCCGTATTGCTTCTTGAAATAGCTGCTTGGACTTGTTGAACATTTAAATTTTCCATTTTTTATGGATGTCTTAAATATTTTGGGTTTTTTTTTTCGGTTTTTGTTTTTTAATTCAAAAATAATTTACTTCTTTTTGTTTTTTTATATTAAAAAAAAACAAAACTTATGGCTAGTGTGTAGTTTTTTTTTAAAATACTTTGATTTAAATGTAAAAAAATTCGTGCACCTAAAAGTATGCAATCTATAATATTTAATTGGATTTATGTTAAGTGTATTGTATGTTTGTGTGGAAAATTATATATATAAGTAATAATGTATTATGTATATATATATAAACGCATTTTAAAGTATTTGTGCTTTTAAAAATTAAAATGTAATGACAATAATGCCAGATGAAATTGGAAATTTTTTCAAAAACCTTTGAAAATTCTATACATTTTATTAGTTGCTGCATAGCTTCAAAAGCTCTGGTATATGCAATTGCATCTGACAATATTGATTCCTTTAAGTTGTTTATTAATAAAAAACAAGAATTCATAATAGTGCTTAGACTTAAAATTATATATGTAAGTACATTTCTATTGAATTTACAAAATATTGAATTTAATTACAAATAAATTATTGATATTTAAAATTTAAATTCACAATATTTATTTTTTATTGTTTTTATTAAAATACCACCAATCAAACAGTTATATTTTAAAGGATTTACAAAAATTAAATAAAATGCTAATTAAATTTCTATTCTAACAGGTAAACAGGTTGATTCAAATAGGTATACAACAACATATACCATATGTATGCTACTACATCAAACTTCATTGGCATTTTGGATTTTAAACACTATTGAAAATAAGCTTTATACATCATAATAAATTATTGGCGAAAAAACTTTAAAACAATCAATTTTAAAAAAAATTCGAATGATGGAATAAAAAATAACTCAGATTAATCAAAAAAATCTACATGTTTATATTATAATTTTCTAAGATTTCACTTGCTTATGCTAAAAAAACTAAAAAACAAATCTATATGAATTTATTATTCTGTATTTAAATTAATTATTTTCTACAACTACAGAAAAAAAAATTTCACTAAAAATAAAAATATTGGGGGATTTTCGATAATTCATTTCTAACTTCGGTCTTAGTATAGAGCACATTCGATAAATTCAAATTGCAGAATCTGCAAAAATAACATGTTCAAAAATGACATAGTGGTACTTTAAATTCTATAGGAATTTTTAAGTTTCTTTCGAACTACTGAAAAAATTTTATAAATTGAAACAACAAAGTACAAAAATGTTGGATATTGCAGAACTGCTTAATTACAAATCTGCAAAAGTAAACTATTCAGTTCCTGTTGATTTATAAACATGTGTGAAAAGATTTATTAGCATGCATTTAAATTATCGAAAATCCCACTACAATGAGGAAATCTAGTTTATGTGGCAGCAATCAATAATCGGGGTATATTGGAATAAGAAAATAAATAACTAAATATTAAAAAAAATTAAAATTATTTAAAATGCATTAAAAAATAAAAAGAACGCTGTAATTTGCAATTGCAAATCAAAAAATCAAAAATTTTATTTAATTTTTTTTATTGATTCTGTTCGCACTCGTGTTTATTTTTTATGCGTTCTTTGTTTTAATTTTTAAAATAATAAATTTTACTTTTCCTTTTTTTATTATATTGGATTATATGGGATTAAAACACTTCCATTTTATATGAAAATTTATACAAAATGTTTAAATATTAAATTTATTTTTATTTATTTTTTTTTATTTTACGTAAATTTTTTAAAAATATATAATTACATATAATTGTTGTTTGCTCATTGTTACCAAGAACTAAAA